AACAGGTAAAGTTCCTTTCAAACAGGCAGTGGTGTCCAAAATAAAACAAGGGTGAAAATCCCATCTCTACAATCCAAAGTGACAACAACAAAACTTCGCAATGTTTACTCGCTCACCATGCAAAAACAGATTTGTAAACCTATACACATTTGGTGTCAAAATGAAGCTCTAGTCAAGCTACGTTAAATACACGTAACCGATTTCAAGACGGCTTTAACCGATCGCTGTACGACGACGCGGAAAAGTAGCTCGGTCGACTATCGTAATTTCGTACTCAGGTTCAATTATTGATATTCGGCAACATGGCGGAACATGCACGAACGCGCGTCGATTTTTCCCGCATTTTATGGCCGGCGTGTGTTCAGTATAAATATAGCATCAGTGTTTATATTGATAAAATTTAATACTGTTTACGATAGTTTTTCATGCTGTAAAGCGTTTTTTGCTTGTCCTACTTTTTGCACTGTTGTGACAGAGCAACTAAAATTGATTGAGCTTTTACTGCTTTTAAGTGCTTTCATTTTTCTATTTCCCACGTTTTCCTGATTATAAACAGTTGTTAATATAACTTCAGTTTAGTTTGTTCTAAAATATTTGTTTTGGGGAAGATCACTAGCGGTATTGAAGTGGTTATTAACAATGCTTGCAGTTTTGTTGATTTGTTTATGGCGACCGAAAGTATTTGTCGAAAATCAATTCGTCTAAAATTTAGCTAAATACAAGAAAACAACCTTGTCAATGGAAAAACTTTAGCTAGTATCATCAAACAATACATGGGGAACAAAATAGGATGATTTTTATTATGCATAGTCTCATATTTTTTTCAAAAGAAGCAAAAATCTGTGACATTCTAGAGAGGACTTGAAAATTGTATTTTCGCTTCGTGAAATCGTCCAAGACGACGTCGCAAACCAGAAGCTGACGATAGTTGGCGCCAAATGACAACATCCACGTCCTCTTGACGTTCGGGTCTTGTTATCTAAAACTGTCTAATACTTCATGTTAAATCAATGTATGGAAACTATTGGCGAGGGGTTGCTGCATGCATGTATTTCTAGTAATATGAAAACATCTTAGGACTACAGGAGGAAAGTTGTGAAAAGGAAGTGGAAAGACTGGGGACTAGTGCGTTGCCATGACAACAACATGACCTGCCAAAAATATTCATATGGGCGCACTCACTAAATGTACCAAGGTTCATTGAATTTTATAAATACTCAGAAAAGATATCATACTTTCTTAATTATTATTGCCATTATCTCAACTCATACTTGTGACGTCACCACTTAAAATATAGAAAGTGCGATAGTACTTTAAACGTAATTCTTCATCTCTCCAGCAGTACTTTTTAGAAAAACAATAAAAAATGAGGTAAAAAATTCGTTGCATAGCCACTTTAACTATTACATAAATAAATATTTAAGTGACATAATTATTTAAAAAATCAATTTTTAAATCGCTAGAGTGGTAGCTATTTATATTTCACATACAGTTTCGAATGTCGACAAGTGGAAGAGTTTGAACAACTAAATGTTAAAACGTAAAAAGCATACTAAACAAAAGTATAGAAACTATAGTTAGCAATTAACATATAAAGTACTTTTTAACTTCAACTACGTACGATTGAAAGAGTACTGGTGTCCTTTTTATCAAGATAAGCTCTCAAAAATCATTTCGCCGCCTTGTGTAATAAGACAAGGAATTTTCGACGTGCTCCGCGAGAGAATAACGTCTGACTATCATTTGATCACCAAACTACAATGCACCAACGCCTCCAGCACATAGCGTCTTTTAATTCGTGTCTTTTTGTGAAATTAACTTCAGATGCCTCGCGATCAGGGAATAAACGAGCGTTTAGAGCATACTATTACCGAATTGCAAAAGGTAAGGATAATATTACTTAAATTCTGGGTTGACTAACGTTAGCCTGGAAGCTGCATGTACATGATCAGCCTCGTCATTGTATGAAGGAGCTGACTTAGCCATTCGTAATTTTTGAGAACCACGAATTTTTAAATACAGCCCGCAATAAAGAGGAGTGGATGTCATTTCAAGTTATCAGTATGTTAAAGCGCTAGAAGAAGACGAACAGTCGACAATAATAATTCGAATTTTATGAATCCTTAATTCGAGCTTCCGAATATGAACGTTGGCTGTTTTGAAATGTCAACTTATGTTGGGAATTAAAAAAAAAAGGAAAGACCCAGTTATAAGGTGCACTTAATTTCGATCCACTTTTATAACTGAAATAATTTGAATCCAGCGCAATGACCACAGGTATTTGTGGTATTCATTACCATCATGTGCCAGGTAAAGCGATATATGATTCGGTAATTTTCCTAATAAATCGTTAAATAACATAATAGTAATTTACCCGAAAATTATAGAACGGTAAGAACAGGATAATTTGCTAACCTGTAAACAAATTGTGCGAGTTTTTTTATTGCGTTTTTAATCCTGCAAAGACTATAAAAAGCGAACAACTTGCCGTTTTCTCGTTCGCAAACGTCAGAAATTCAGTTCGAGCCGCCATTTTGTTTTTCTTTACTAGCAGGATATGAGCTAATATCCTGCTAGTAGAGAACCAATCAGATTGCAGAAAACCTCATATCAAGACCTTGTGCATATAATCATTTGTGTTCTTCTTTTCCAGCAATGGCAGATAGTAATTATAATAACGGCGGCAGCAACAACGACAACAACAAAAACAACGACGACGATGGCAAAAACGTTGGCGCCAGCAAGACAACAAGTAAGTTTTTTTCGTATTACTTCCTGTATAAGCTTTTGTCCTGTATAGCTTTTATATACATTGCTTGTTGTTTATCTTTTGTTTTATGATTTAGATTTAAGACTCAACATGCCAATTAGCGGAGGAGTTGGCGGCAGGGCAGGACTAAAGAATTTTCTTCTTGGGGAAAAACCTGAACACAAGATATTTTAGTAATATGTAATGTATATAAAAACATATTAGACAGGGGAATTTCCAAAACCATTTGAAAAACTCGTGATTCCGTTTTATTATTGAATATCTAGCAACGGTGCGGAGCGTCGTTCCGGTCGTAAGCTCGGGTACTAATTCCGCCCTCCTATTTACACCAGGGAAAACGAAAGCATTTGCCAAGTCTAAAGATCATTAATGATCGCGGGCGCGGGTGACCAACGGTGTAGAGTGGGTGGTCATCCTTACGAGTCACAAAATATGTGGCGGATTGGTCATGAATAGCGAAGACTGATTGGTCAAATTTAAAATTTGTTGTTGTGTGACAAATGACGACAGTGAAATAACAAACATTTCTTGCAAATGAGCAAATATATTGTATTTTTGCAAGATTTTGCAAATTTCAAAACATTTTTGAAAGCTAAAAGAATGGAGAAAATTTGCCGACGTTAATGAGGGTAAGTTTGTTTTTAATACTGATGTATTGTTTGCTTTATAATTGCCTTAAAAACTTATACGATCATTGCGTATATAAGTGAAAAAAGACAGCGTATAATTTCAGTGTAATTTTATTATCTGGTTTCTTGCACTTCATTTGGTGATATTAATATTAGAATGCTGTTGTTAGTGTTAGTAATCCAAGTGAGTATATACATTTTAAGACCTGACCAGGACCGACTGCGAAAAATGCGGCACAAAGTCCTTTGGTAGAAATCGAACCTAGGGCCCTGCGATTCCGGTGCAGCGCTGTAACCTACTGAGCTACAGAGGCAAGCTGTTGATCTGTAACCGTAAGTTCATGTATATATAGGTCGATCGGGTGTGCTGGTTGTCATAAGGTGGACTTCAATGATCTGGTTTCTTGCACTTCACTTGGTGGTATTATCACGTACAAGAAACCAGATCGTTGAAGTCCACCTTATCACAACCACCACACCCGATCGACCTATATATATATATATATATATATATATATATATATATATATATATATATATATATATATATATATATATATATATATATATATATATATATATAT